ATATATTATATAAGTTTTTGGTTTTCATTATATCAAAAGTGATAACAATTTACATACAATTAACATTTCAAAGAACATGTCATAGAACACAACAAATTATCACAGATTGTCAAAAGCACCTTGCCTTGAAGATTAACTAGGAAGAAAAAAATGAGCATCAAGAAACATGACAAAAAGCAACAATAGAAAACATAGAATAAAATCAAATTGTTCAATCTATTTTACACGTACATTTCTTCAAAATATCATAGCTAAGTAGCCTACCACTCTCGTGGTTTCTTGTGGTGAAGGAAGCGTTATAATAATAATATTGTGGGAGTAGACGATGTAATGCATGCATTTACACAAGGAACTTTAAACTTTAATAAATATCTCTCGCGCTTTGAAACATTTTCTGAACTTGGAGTGTGAGAGACCAACCGTATTAAGAATTTGAAACATTTGTAACACATGTACCATTTTGCCTATATTTTTACAGAAATCTCTGGCTGACTACTACTCGGCAAACAATTAATTTGTCAAGAGAGCTTCGCCTTTTCCCGCTTGACACAGCGCGATGTCCGAATCCGCTATAAAGGTGAACCGCGAGGAGAGGGAATACTGTATTAAGGCCTATTATAAATTTTATGGTGACCGCAGAACTCAAGTGGCCTTAAGTGGCCTTCATTCTTCAATATCATATTGTCAGAGATAAAGGCTTGCCAAGAAGGTGATAAATTATTCTAAGGTCCCTGAGAACAGCCCTGTTCTAGAAAATCGGATTAACAAGAATAGAACATAATAAATGTTTGCACCTATTCCAATGACTCATGCGCCTACGAAAGAAATCAGCTTTCCAGGAACTATGGAGCAAAAGCAAAAGCAAGCAAAGCATGGAGGTTTTCAAAAGAAGTTCTGAGGTCCTTGTTGTGAACGGTTTTTATTCAAAGAGAGCATTGTAAGGGTGCACATTACATGAAGTGCTAAGGCTGCCTGGGGGTTTACCACGGATGTAAATTTTGTTGATCTTCAGGGAGAGTGACCTTCAAGACTTCCTGGTTGCTCTAAGTTATGTTGTAAGTTGTTCGTGTGTACATGTTTGGGAGAGGTGAATGTCTGCATATATGAGTGTAGACATATAGAATGGCAATGGGAGTGAAGATGGCGTTTCTCCATGCTCTGGGGAAGGTGTTTTCATTCCACGTCTTGTTGATCAGCTGGAGAATATAACACTTACCAACTGAACTGAGGTTGACAAGCATTTCATTGTGGATCTTATCAGGTCCTGGGGATTTGCGGGGCTTCAGTTTCTTCATTGTCCTGTTGAGCTCAATGAGTGTGAAGTCATCTTCAAAGAGAGAGATACTTGCACTTGTTCATTTTATTTTCAAACAGCCCCCGCTGTCCTTCCGCACATTTTCTCTAACTTATTCATACAACCATGAAACAGAACCAGGCATTGAACGCGCCTGGAACACGTGCTAGGATTGGTGTAAGTGTTTAAAAAAAACCCCTCTTATTGGGGACCCGAAAGTGACACCGTGTTTCCGATAGGTCATACTGTACATGGTATTGCGAAGAATGATCTACAGTACGTACAGTACAAGCATTGTCCTTCCCCAGTGAACCAATCGTGGGATGCTTAGACTAGAGTCGTTTGTAGATTGTGAAAAAATGCACAGACTCATAGCTCTGACCTACTCGCAGGACAAACTGTCACGCAAGGTTCGGGGTGCTTTGAATGTCTGTTTGATGCGTACGAGGTAATTAAAATTTGATGAAATGTATGAGTAAAAATCCATGGATTTCTGTTTTTCCCCGCGAGTCGTTGTCGGTGGTCCATTATAAAAGTAATCGTTTTCAGGTACAGTGCATTGGATTGGTTGTTCTTAAAATAATATATCATTGCTGTAGTTAATGCTGATCCAATCTCCAAGCTTTGATCTTTTTTCGAAAAGTGTGCTTGTTAGCTCTTGCATTTTCATACGAATAAGCCTGCTAATGATTAGCTGACTGTGTTTATGAATGGACGCAATGCACAAACAATGACCAATGTAATACGGCAAGTTTTACCAGGACTACACTTTTCAACACTACAACTACTAGTATCTCATAGCACACGAGAAGTTCATCAACGTCCACTGAACTAATTTTAGATTTTAGACAATAACGCAAAGAGCCCCAAAGCACTATTAGTATGAGGTTGTGAGATATCATAAGATAATCTATACTTTATTGGTCCAGCATTGGACAAAACATGCAGTGTGCTTTCACTTTACTCGCTGTGTGACAAAAATACAAAATGCACACAAATAACCAACATTATTGCAACTCACTAGAACACCTCTCTCTCTCTCTCTCTCTCT